TCCCTGCAGCTCCCCGCAGTGCTGCTTCCCAGGAGACTTCTTAGAAGATTCTGCTTTTGAACTGTGCTGCTCTGTTTATGTGATTTGCTCTGGGAACATCTGAGGGTGCTTCTCACAAACTGAATGAGATTAGAATGGTGCGGCCCCCTCCAAGAGATCTAAAAAAGCACCTCAGACTTCAGCATCACAAGCTGCTTAAAAGACAGCTTTCCTGAAAGCCCGGAGAAGAAAATGCATTCACTGCACTTTCATTGCTTTCTTAATTCATATAATTAGTGTGGAGATAGCTGCATGGCTGTATTTTCTTCAAAGAAACTGCCTCAGACAAATATTGGCTAATGGAAATTTCACTTTCAGATAAAGCGGTATTTGAAAATGCATGGAGGCCGTTGTGGGGAAATGGATGCAGGAATCAAAGATGCTACAGCAAGGCATTCCCCGGGCGGCTGGAGGAGCAGCACAGGAATGGTGCAGCACTGAGCACCTCCAGCAGCACTGCTCTCCTCCCCAGCCCTGCTCTGCTGCCTGTGAGCTCTGGGCTGAGTCTCCTGAAAGTGCTCCCAGCCAACTCTTTTATTGAGACTGCTGAAAGCAAACCGATAGTAAATTAGCTCTCTGCCACCTATAAATGTCACTAGAAACAAAATATTTTACAGACCCAGCTGAATGCATTCTTAGGTTCCTCTTTCTATGGGCAGATTTAATTCAGAGCCAAGGATGCAGCCCAGACTTTGCTTGGCAGAACCTTTTATGAGCGTGGGATGCTCCTGCAGGGCACTGGGTGCTGTGGGTGCTGGGTGCTGTCTGCAGGAGTGCTGCCAGGCTCTGGTTTCCCTGCAGAAAGCAGCAATTTTCTTGGAGGGGCTGAGGGAGCGTGGGGCCACCGCTCATAAAGACCTTTCTCCTCTGAAAGAAGATCCAGGTGCCTAATTAACTTCATAAATGAGCTGGAGCTGTGAGGCCACCACTTTGCCATGAAGTGAAGGTAACCTGATCACTGCAGCCCTTTCTGCCTGGGTAAGGGATCCTGCCCGCGATTAATTCGCTCTCACCTGCTTTCCGTCCAGCTGCATTCTGGCTGTGCACAAAGCCGGTGTGCAGACACTGTTGACAGGGCTGTGCTAAGCTGGGAAATTATCAGCAGCATAAGAACCGTGGCCAATTACTGGGCTGTGCACTGCATCGCTGCCTGCCTGGCCTGCCCTGGGTCACAGAGCTGTGGGTGCTGCCCTTCATGGCTGAGGGCTGGGGGGCACAGGGGGGAACCCCCAGGGGGGAGTGGTACCACTGCAGCTTTGCTGCTGTCTGTGCTGCACTTGGAAAAACACTGAAGGAGGTGGCAGTGGAGAGGAAGGTGCCCTGGGAGATCAGCCTGTTGTGGTCCCACTGAGGGTGGCTCAGGGACCTCTGAGTTTCCTAAGGACTCCATTCTTGTGGGAACAACCCACAGTGAGACCTCAGAGAGCGCAGGGGACATTACAGGTGGAAGTGCAGACATAGCCAGCCAAGAAGTGAATGCCCCAACACTGGGGATGAGTGCATTCCTCATCCCTGGGGGTGCCCTGGGCCAGGCTGGAGGGGGCCTGGGGCAGCCTGAGCTGGGGGCACCCAGCCTGCAGCAGGGGTGTGCTGGGTGGTCTCTTAAGGTCTCTTGCAGCCTGAGCCCTTCTATGATTCTGTGAATTGTTCACATTAACATTGCCTGTGTTTGTTTAATGGGAATGTAGAAGAGGCTGCATCTGTGCCTGGGCAGCAGTGAGGAAGCCAGGCTGTCGGTGGGCAGGCAGCAGCGTGCGTAGCACCCAGCTGTGCTGCAGCTGGAGAGCAGAGCTGACTGGTTAGAGCTGTACAGGCAAAAGCGTTAATGCAAAGCTTGGTTTTTTTGAGCAAAAAAGGGAAGAACAGATAAAACCCTCTTTTTTTTAATATAAAAATGATCACGTTGGATCATTTCACAGGTGTAGTTTTGGGGTGCAGTGTTCTGATCCGCCCTGTATAACGTGTGTGCATAATACTTGCAAAACATGAGGCACTGAGGAACAGAAGTCAGGCAGATCCAGAAAATGAGGAATAGTGTTGTGCTCATCCATTGCACTCCATCACTTCCACAGGCCAAAATAATCCCTGCTGCTTTTCCCAGCCTGCCTGCCTTAGTGTGCAGGTGTTGGTGCTCTGTGCTGCATGAGCAGAGTGTGCATGGCAATGAAACCCAGCGTTCCAGCTGGTGAACGCTGAAACAAATGTGGTTTGTTTTGTGATAGGATTTGAATCTACAAGTGGCCTTCTATCAGATTATGCAAGGATGATGACTAGCAGGCAGTGTTGTTTTTTTTTTAATGTGGAAAATAGCTTTTCTGAATATTTCTAGAAATTATTGAAAAAGTGGAAGGGGCCGTGCTGCCTTTCTGCCTCCAGGGTGCTGGCAGTGGCAGCTCACGGCGTTGGTGCTGCAGTGGTGCTGTGCTGCCTGCGGGATGGCACTGCTTCCTTGGGGCTCCTCCTGGGCCCTGAGGGGCTGCAGTTCCTGCCCAGCACCTCTACTGCTCAGCACAGCGCAGAGCTTGAGGCCCCCTGGACACAGGCTGTGTGTGACCCAAGAACTGCATCTTGTAGCTCCAGTGTCCATTCTGCAGGAGTCCCTTGTGGTTGCTGGGGGGCAGACGGGAGGGTTTTTCTTTCTGGGGAGCGTAGGGTGGTGGTGGTGGATTCAATGCCAGAGAAAAAGGAGAGATTTCTGGAGGGCTGTCAAGTTCTCCTTAATTGTGAATCCCATTTGTTGGTGACTAATGCAGCCAGGCTGGCGGAATTGCTTCATGAATTAGAAGCAGTGGCGCGGTGGAAAAGATGTGACTGCGATGCTGGCTCCTGATTTACCAACACTCCCTCCCAGGCTGCTGCTCGACTGCCTACTGGCACATTACAACTCTTCTATTAATAATTTAGAGCTTGAATAAGGGTGGAATGCACTCGATTCAACATCGGGTCTGCCGAGTTGGTTGTCAGCCTGCTGAGAGCCATGTGAGCGGGGAGGATGCGTATCTCAGCATGGGGCGGCTGTTAGTGGAGCAGAACGTGCTGTGTGCACACACATACAGGTGCACAGCCTGGGGGCGAGCAGTGGGGCTGGGCAGGCTGGTCCCGGGGGCCCTGCTGCCCCTGCTCCCTGCAGCAGGTCTGTAACTTCCTGGCGGTGTGCTGAGATGGGTTGTGGAGGAGCTGTGCTATCGGGGTGTTCTGTGCCGGGAGGCTCTGTGCCTCTCATCCCAGGTGAGGACGGCTCCTTCCCGTGGGATTCCTCTCCTCACGCTGCCAGCACTCCCATCTCTGGCTCTTTGCTTTAATCACTCAGTGTTTCTTCATCATTAACACCAGTTTCTAAGCTTTGTGCCAGAAGGCTGCACCAAACCATCATTGCCTCGCTTCGAAGCATCCAGCATAACCGGGCTGTAGTTGGAAATGGCAACGTGCATGAAGTGAGACGACAGAAACCACCAGCTCTCCTCCCTGAGGCAGGACTCTCCCCACACTCTCCTCTTACTCAACTGGAAAAGCTTCTGACTAGTTTGTGAAATGACTGAAGCGCATCTAGAGTTCTCTGTATGGGAAATAAGCCAAGCAGCAAAGTGAGAGGACAAAGCCATGTGCTGGGTATCTGGATGGCTGCAAAGAGGGTCGCCTCCATGTTGCTGCCCTGGAGCTCACATCAGCTGTGCTCACCTGGGAAGAGGAGCTGATAGCTGGAGGTGTGTGAAGAAGCTGAGCATTTTGGACCTGCTTGGTTAAGCAATGCTGCTTATTTCCCTGAGCATGACATTATTTTCCACCTGAGTGATTTATGCAGCAAGATAACTCCTGAGAGAATAATACAGGAGAGATTTTGCATAATTTTTCTTGTATTTAAAGTACCAAATGGAGGAAGAATGCTGCCAAGCTGGAAGCCTGTGGGATCTTGGTAATGTATAGGATCGTGCTTGGTGCCATCACTAACACCAGAGCAGCTGGAGCCCAGGGACTGCTTGCTCGTGCCCATCCACCCTGCACTCCGGGCGTTGCTGAGTTGTGCAGCATTGCATGAACTTCATCAGCTTCTCTGCCCAAGGCTGGCTCCCATTTCGTGTAGCAGAGCCATATCCATCAGCAGGCTACAACCCTGGCCTGCTGTTAGCAAGTTTAAGAGCCCTGGCGTTGAGCAGTGCTATATATTTCTGTCTGTTTGGCTTTGAGAAGAGCCTTATGTTCAGCAGCTTTGTTTTAGAGAAGTAAAAGGGAAGGGAAAGGGGTGGGTGGTTCTTGGTTTGTTTTAGAGCAGTCAGTATTGATAATGCCAGGATGGAAACAGGGTGTTTATTGAGGTGATTTCATCAAAGGGCTTCAGCTCATCAGTAGATGGTGCCCATTCATGGATGCTGGATGTTCTGTGCCAGAAATAGCCCCGAGTTCCACAAAAATAAACAAATTGTAAGTGTTTTTAAGTGGAACTGGTGTCCTCTCAGCCAAAAGAACAAAGTGACAAAGGCTGTGTGGAGCCCTGCTGTGCTGAACTGCTCAGCCCCACACACTGCAAGGGCCTCAGCTGTGCCAGGAGATGCCAGGGGTGGCCTGGGCAGGCAGACAGCAGAGAAAAAGTGTTGTGAGAGGGGAGGAGTGAGGAGGGCTTTTAGATCCAGCTGCAGGAAGGTAAAGCAGTGCCTGGAAGGACGGGAATGGCAGCAGGGCTGCTTGGAGCACAGCTCCCAGGATGCAGGGTTGGATGGTTGTGTCCCCCATCCCATCCTGTGTGCTGCCCAGGGCCATGGGCAATCTGGGAGGAAAGGCGAAGCCCTGCTGTGTTCTGGGCTGCTGACTGACGGAGTTCCCTCTGCTGCTGCTCTTTGGGAAAAGCTGCTTGGAAGAAGCTGAGTTTTACCCCATCTTTGTTTCCTGCTGCTGGTATTTTTGGTTCTTAGCTTTTTTTTTTTTTTTTTTTTTTTCTGTTTTGTTTCCCACTCTGCACCCAACAGGAAGAGCCCCTTGCAAAGCCCTCAAGAGTAAGAAGAAGGGAAAAAACAGATGACATTTGCTTTCTGCAGACAACAGGCAGCAGCCAGCAATTCCAAAAAGCCCGTCACCACCGCTGCTATTCCCATGAGAAAGAGAAAGGAAATGGGATCTTACAAAAAAAAAACAAAAAACCAAAACACAAAAAAAAGACATGTTCCAAAATACAGAGGCCTCATTGCTCTCATCAGTGCGCTCACTTCTCCGGTGGGATCAGACGTAGCCCATGCTGTGGCGTGGTTCAGTGGGGTGACATTGAGCAGGAGCTGTGGAACTGAACGCTGGGGTTTCCCTGGAAGGAGCTGAGCCTTCAGAGATCGTCTGCTCAGCAGGGCAGCCCCAGAGGGCCCTGCAAAACCTTCTGTTCTTCTGGAGGGAACCACTCACAGCACCACGTTCATCTCTTCTGGGAGTAACCTGATTGAAGCAGGATGGTCTTCATCCTCACAGACCTGCGTGCTGTTACTAATGATGTATCTCTCTTGCTTGGTGGGCATGGAGAGTGTTTTCTTTGCCATGAGGAATCCAAAGATACCAAAACCCCAGTCCAAATTTTGGATAGCTTCGTAGCTGGTGGCTGGCTGGAGAGCCAGGCTCTTGCTGTAAGACTTTTCTGTGGCAGCATCACAGAGGCAGTTTTCCTGTGCCCCACAGTCAGTGCAGCAGGCTGAGCTGTTGGGTGGCAGTGATGAAGCTGACCTACAGGTTGCAAGCACTGCACTCTTTTACAGTGATCCCATCTCAAGAAGGGGACTTTCTTGTCCCATTGCCTCGTAGCTGGGTGTCCTGGCAGGGTCACTGCTGGCTGTGCTGTGGGGCAGGCACTCTGCCCTGGGTTTGCTGTCATGGCACAGCTTGGCTGTGTTTTGGCCACTGAGTCGCCTGCAGGTGTTCAGTGGGGCGGAATCTCACTGCAGCAGGGGTTGGAGGTGAAGGGAAAGCCCCGTGTGGAGCTGATAGCTGGCACCTCTGGGAAGAGCTCAGTGGGATTACCAGGACGGAGGAGCCTGCACAAATGGGAGCCGTGGGGAGATGAGGCGCAGCTGCAGCCCCAGGCAAAACCCACCCTGGCAGCTGCCAGCTGTGCTCCAGATGTGTTGTAACTCAGCCATGTGCAGCCAGCAGGCACTGCATGCAGGTATGATGTGCAGCAGGCTTTGGTTTCCAAACTGCAGCTCCTTGTGCAGCACCAACAGTGCACGAGGGGTTCTAGGTGCCAACACCCACAGGAGCACATTCTCCATGTCTTCAAATGAATTTAACGTGCTCTCTCCATTAGAGGGCAGAAGCATGCTTGTGCACAGATAAAACAAAACAAATGTACGTGCCCTATGTGCTATCTAAGTTGTTGTGCTAAGGGAAGGTAGAACACCGTCACACTCTTCCAGCCAACCTCACCTGGTGGGAGGAAAAGGCAGCAGGGAGAAGTGGGGCCTTAAGGGTTAACCTCTGCGACTGGGGATCGCTGGGTGCTCCATGTAGCACCTCCTCCTGTTTGAAGCTGGAAATAGATTTGTGCTATGGTAAGTACAAATGTCTCTCAGGTTTGTTAAGGACCAGCCAACGCAGGTAAATACTCCTCTTGCAATTTTAGTAGAAAAGTGCAGAAGGATTTGCTTCTGAATATTGGTAACTAGGAGGTGAACATCTGGAGGATTTCTCTTAATAGTCTGCAGTTTTACAGCGCTTGGTGAAGGTTGTGCTGCACTGCTGTATTTCAGCCCTATGCTCATGTAAAGCTCTGCAGAAATAAAGGCATTGCCCATAACCATGTGGGGAAATCATGGTGTCTGGTGGACTCAGCAACACAGCTTCTGTGGGGAGGAGAGGTGCCAGGAGCTCGGCCTTAAGCAGATATGAACTTCAGGTTAATTCAGGCTAAAAATTTAACCTTCTTTTGTGTCCTCTGGACGCCAGCTGTAGTGGGAATATTTATGGCATGGGCATTTTCTTCCTCGAAATTGGCCCAAATCCACGGTGTTATCCTCTCTGTTGTGAGTGCTGGGGCACGGTGGGGGTGGCTGCAGCCTCTGGTGGGGTCTGACCTCGGGGGGCACCCGGGGTTGTGGTGCTGGTGGGGTGGCACAAAGTGTGGGCTGAGCCGTGCCGGGTGTGCTGCTTCAGTCCTGAGCTGAACTGAAGGGAAGAGAATTGCAATCACATGCAAAATTCATAGGATTGTAGAATATCCGGAGCTGGAAGGGACCCACGAGGATCATCCATTCAAGATGAGTCACAAATATTTCCCAGAGACCCTCCTGGGTTTTGGGGATGGTGGGTTGTTTTTCTTAAATCTTAGAGGCTGAGGCTGGAAATACAGCACAGAGCATTTGTTCTACGCCCTTCTGTGTTAAGGTAATGAAACGTGCAGTGCCGGCCTCCAGAAACAGCAGCCGGGGGCTGGAGCACTGATGCTGCTGTGATCTGTGATCTCTCAGTGGCACATCTCTCAGTTATAGGTGAACCCATCGCTCATTTTTACAGAGTTCATCTGCTGGTAGAGGCTGGGGAACACCTGAGGGCGTGGGCTACTTGGTACATCTCTGTGGCACAGAGGGGCCATCCTCGCAGAGAGAGGAAGCAGAAATCACAGTGCTTTTACAGAACCTTGGGGGTTTTTTATGGGGACTTTTCAGTGCCGAGAGGATTTTCTGGTGTTTCACCAGGGACAGAGCATACAGGCTGAATTAGAGAATACAGATGAGTTGATAATCCTGGAGATGGCAGAAGACGAAACAGATGCAAAATGGTGTTTGGCTGCACTAATGGCTTTTCAGAGAGCTGGAGAACGACCTCAGTGTGACAGTTTTGCAGGAAACACTTCTCACTTCTGAATGCGTTTCCTAGTTCAGTGACTCAGTTTGACTTGAGATGACAGCAGTCACTTACAGGAAAAGCGAGGAAATGAGCTGATAGTCAAGAGCAGTGTGGGTGAGGGGAAGAGTGTTTCTCACTGTAAAATATGAAAAAAATCAATTAAACCGTTACAGCACTGTGATTTAATGAGCGCTGCAGGCGTGCTGGAGCGTGGGCAGGGCACGAGCCCTGCTGCTGCTTCACTCCTGTTCCTGGTGGCAGAAAAGAGGTTCCCTGCACCTCAGCATTGCTCATCTCAGTTCTGGTGCTGGTGAGGGCACCCGTGGGGCTGAGACCCACACAGCCTGGGGTGGGTTGGGGTTGTGCAGCCTTTGGTGCAGCGTCAGCCCCTGGGCTTCCACAGCCAGGACCCACTGGGATGTGCAGACAGGCAACGACACTCAGGCGCTGCACAGCATGGCCCAGGGAACAGCCTCGTGGCAGCAGGAGGAGATGCTCCTAGAAACCATCCCTGTGCAGCCATGCAGCCGGCTCTGTGGGTGAGCCACGGCACGGCAGGTAAGGTGCTGGAGCAGCAGCGTGCAGCCTGACAGCTCTGCCCATGGGTGCCGGGAGCAGGGCGATGGAGCAGGGGTTAACTGGAAAATCCAGCTCTTGTTGTCTGGAAGAATGCAGATCTGGCCTTGAAATGTTTCCCAAGGTCTTGGCACTTCATTTCGTGGCTGTGTCTCATGCTCAGTCTATTCCCAAGGCACCAGCTATCGTCGGATGTCGTCTGCCTGTCTCTCGGTTGCTGTTTGTTTCTGTGGTTGCACGTTGATAAGGTATCTGGTTATGTCTTGCAGCCCTCAGAATCCAAGCCCAACGTCACCCCTCTCACCGTCCTGGCCCATGTTCTCTGCGCCATCAAGTCCTATGCCCACCTCCTCTACGTCCAGCGACTCATCCCCCATCAGGTCTGTTGCACAATTTGCTTGGCTTTCTGTTGCTCTCCCTATTTTCTGTTTAATTTACTTGGTTTGCCCCACTTCACTTCCCTTCCCCCTTTGCATCCTGCTCAAAACCCCCAGTGCAGCTATCTGCATTCAGCAAGAGAGGAGCTTTCAGGCGTCTCCTGTCCCAGCAGAGCCATGGGCACCCCCTGTGCACCTCTGGGCCCCCATGTGCAGCCCTGGGGCTCAGGCCGGGGCAGGCAGGTCCCACTGGTGCTGAGTTCTTTGTGTTTTCAGCCATTTCCTTTCCCTGGAGCTTGCTGCACTCGCCTCTACAACAGGTAAGCAACGTAGTGCTACCCCAGCTGCTACCAGGAGTAATACTGCATTTTCTGGCCGTTTTCCATTTCTGAGCTGCACTGTAGGGAGGGTGAAGGGCATGGTGCAGCACAGATGTTGGCCTGCCATTAGCCCATGTCTCAGGTGTGTGGGCATCACTGGAGCAAGTTGGTCAGGCCCAGCACGGTGTGGTGGGGACATGTCAGACCTGTCTACTCATTGCAGGCACAGCCTGAGCGTTCCCCCTCCTACAGCAGTGCATGCTGCCTGTTGGTAGCGTTATTTGTGTCCCAGTACACATGTGCAAAGGCTGACAGCGGTGTAATAACATCTGAGCAGCCCTCCTCAGGGCTCATTGTCCTCGAATCTGCACAGGGCACTTGGGTGAAGCTCCTGTGAGTGCTTGGCTGGCGTTGTGCCATGCTTGGAGGCAGTAATCACACAGTGACTGTCAGCAGCCTCCAGGTATCTGCACCGCATGGGGGCTGCACTGGGGATACAAATCCGAGGGGAGTTTTGGGAAGAGAAGTGTGAATAACTCAAGGTTGTAAGCCAGAAATGTCCTCTGCCTGACTGTGTGAGATGAGAGGCCTCCAGGTGGTCAGGGACCCTCTGCTGAGCGGGGGGCTCAGCATCATCAAAAGTTCTTTGCTTGTAAAGCAGTTTGCTGCTGCTTGTCATACAGCTGGAATTCAGATAGGAAAAATCTCAGCCCCGTGGCTGTGCTGACAGCAAAACCAAAACCGTTCACAGCTTTCCTGGTTTGTGGTTTCTATGAGTGTGCAACCGCTTTTGCCATGAGGTGAGCACATGTATTCAGAATCACTTCAGGTCTTTGGGAAAAGCCCCTCAAGCCCCCAGAGAGAATGCTGATGCCCTGGGGTGGTGCTGGCCGTCCTGGGGCACTCACAGCACTGTGCCATGGCTGCGGGGTTGTGCTGTGTCTGCTGCCACTGGGGGCACTGGGACGGGGGGTGGGCAGCTCCAGGTAGTGCAGTGTGCTACTGGGCTCCTCCATCTGCTCCCTGAAATTCACCTCTGTTTCCATCCCTTTCAGCTCCAACTCACTGCTGGGCACAGTGTGGGCACACTGACTCTTCCCAGTAAAACCTAATGGTTGCTAAATCTTTTTTGTCCTCAGGTACAGCCTTTAAAGAAGTGCAGCAAATCCCTCGTGGCTTTACTGAGCTGTTTTTCAGGTTTGAAGACACCCTTCCCCAGGTGCTAATTTTTATGCCAATCAACGCTTTCTCCTTGCAGCTCACCTCTGCGGAAAGCCCGAGCTTTGTACGCCTGCAAAGCAGAACACGACTCGGAGCTCTCCTTCACAGCAGGCACTGTGTTTGACAATGGTGAGTGAATGCTGGCACGGCTGGGCTGGGTCCTGGGGGCTGGAGCTCGCTGCCCATTCCACAGCGTGACCCCTTTGAGCAGGTTGGCACGGCCCGGCTTGGCAGCCAGGGGCTCCTGTTCCCTGACAGCATCTCTCGTTTCATGTACATGGGAGAAACTGCAGGGCCGGTGTCAGTGGGAACATGAACACAGCTGCAGTGAACGCCAGTTGGCCATTGTTTGTTTTAGCACTGTATTTTGCAAATTACTGGTTTTCCTCCTGTGACCCGGGGAAGAGCTGGATTCTGAATTCATGGGTTTCCTTTCAGTCCTACGCCTAATGACTATCCCATTTCCATCACTAGAAATCCCATGAAAGAAAAAAGCAGCAGTGCTTGAACCTGCCATTCAATCCAGATGTATCCTGCCGTATGCTTTATATCCGTGCTGAGAAGAGCCCATCATCCAGTCCTGTTGTGGCATGGAAAGGACTTTTCCAAGGCCATGACTGAGCTCACCCTCAGGGAGACGTGAGGTGGGGGCAGGTGGAAAGGATCCTGCTGCTCTCGCCAGCAGATCAGTGGGCACGAGCAGAGCTGGGGCTGTCACTGCAGTATGCAGGCTTTGTGGCCCCGCTGCATCCCTCCCACGGACCCATCACTGAGATCCAAGACAAAAGGCAGTGGGCGGTTGGCGGACATCACCACTCAGCAAAGTTCTTTGATTGCTCTGGGGATGGGAGAGGTGAGCTTCCAAGTACTGGCACAGCAATTCCCCCTGCAGCTGCCGTACTGTTTGGTGCAGGAGATGGAGAAGTGATGAGGGCCTTTTCCCTCTGCACACCAAGTGCTGGAAGAGGTGGCCCATGATCAGTTGCGCTTTTTGGAGACCGTGTTAATGAACATAGACTCTGTTTCCTGCATCAGGGGAAGGAGGCTGTGCCCAATGGAATTAGGCAGTTCTGTTTTAGATATAATCCCAGTGTAAAGAAAAAACTTTTTACTGTTCTCCAAGTGGCTGTTGGCTTTTATGTGCTAAGCACTGTCATCTGAGAAGCTGCTCCCACGCGCACAGCCCTGTTCTGCTGTATGAGAACATAGCAGAGAGGGGAAGAAAATTAATACAGGTGAATTAAAGAAATGCTTTTCCTAAGCAGCACCACAGATATCCTACAGATAAATGCAGTCTCCCCTCTGAGGGCCCGTGGGAATCTGAGCAGCTAGCAGGGGAGCAAGTTGGATTTGAATGCATTGTGTTTGCCAGACAAAAATCAGTGGATTATTCAAAGGAAAAAGTCTACAGCGTGTCCCAGCCACTGAGCAGCCGGGCTGCATGCTGGCTGGGGGAAGTGGGTTGGAAAG